TTAAAATTCTTTGTATATGAGAGCAGGTAAATTTAGGTGAGCTGACAAAAAGACAAACTATCAATCTACAAAATTAGTATTTATAGAAAAGATACAGAACTAGAAACATCAAATTGGTGTGGGCATTCATCATCAAAATCGTCCCCTCCTTAGCTTCATTATATCAGCGTTTATCTCCTCTTTTTCCCCCTTCGATTAAGGATATCAGCATGTGTCTTATGGAGAAGTTAGTAAAATTTAAGTGACATAAAGGATGAATTCAAAATCTTCATACGGAACATTTAATTTCTATTAGCTGTGCACAATCTCAGATATCAATGCTTTAGGTCTCTAATTCCCACTAGAACATACTGTGTAATGGCATTTAGAAAAGTTTTCTCTTTTAAGGCAAGAAGCGTTGATGTGTCAATCATTCTTAAAAATTGAGTGAAAAACTATTTAGCAATAGGAAGAGAAATCAGTATTTTCATTACACACGAGAACATAGGCTCAGAAGGGAGATAATAAATCGGTACACTTAGCAATTCAGATGCGGGTGCAAATACTTCCATTCTGGATTGGCATGGAGTAAATGGAAAGCGTGTGATTGCAACCTCCATTGTAACTTAATAAATTTAATGTGCCATCACCTTTTGTCACTGGTCAGTATAGTTCTGGATGTTGCAAATAATAAGGCTCTTGTGGTATTGAGTACCCAACGTACAGAGACTTCTCCTTTTCTATTTTGCTTTTTATGGCTCAAAATCAAAATCTTCAGTAGCTTCTTTGATTTCATCGCCTTCTAGCAGTGAGTAGTTCTGTGAATTTCTCTCTGTTTTATATTTCTACACTATTTAGTTTTTTTGTTCTTTTTGTTTTTTCATGTTTTGATTGTACTATGTATGCTTTTGATTCTGGTAGTGCAGATTTTCTGGGAAGCACATAAAATTGTTGACAGCTATTCACCGAATCTATTAGCAAACTCTAAAAATGGTATGCGTTTTTTAGCCTTAATTTTTAATTCTCATACTTTCGGCTAGATATGATACTTTATTTTCTTTTTCTTTTTCGAATCCTCCTAATAACTTCTCTATATGAATGCATCGACTTGCTTCTTTTTTATTCGGTATTCACTCTGTCTGGCAATTTGCATTAGCATAGTCAACTTATCTTTTCAAACTCCAATATGATCAAATTAAGCATACCCCTTCTTTTGCATACATTTCATGTTAGTTTATGGTTATTGAACTGTGATGAGAGTTATTTTTGGGTTACTTGTGGAGTATTAGATTAGGATTGCCTTCAATATTTATAAAGTTGTTCATTCTTGTGAATCGGGAAAAAATATTAAAAAAATATTATATAGGTTTAGAAATACTTTTAGAAGGTGTTATGAAGCAGTATTAAAATTTCGTATTTGACATAGCCCATTAACCAAAATAGAGTTTGTTGAATTTGTATCCCCGAAAGTATGGAAAGGAACCAAATTGTATGAGTATGTATTTATTACATGCATTTGTTGGATAATAATTTTTTTGTTCATTAGTAGAAGAAACAAAAAGGACAAGGTTAGGTGTGGCAAGAGTGAGAACTTTTATGCTTTCTTTAACCATCGGATTTCTGTCTTTGCTATAGTTAAACATTGACACTTTTAGCATGTGTTACGGCCCTTCATCTTACTTTTAAAGAAATTAAGTTTGTTGATTGAAGGTTTATCAACTAACAGTTGCTCTAAGACCTATGCTCTTTTGTCCTGATTATTTTTCACATCTCACGTACACCTTGTAGCAGCTTCTTCTCTATATCTCTTGCTTAAATCAGATCTTTCCCATGATAGTGGTGCTATGGATGCGTTAGTGATCAATAGAACAACAGCTTTTGTAAAATAAAAATAAAAAAAGATAAAAAATTTTAACGTTGAGATAGCTTGCCCTCTATTATTGTTTAACAATTTAATGCACTTTTATTTATCTAATCAATTGTAAAGAGTTGGAGTTTTTGCCTTTAGCGCTATAGCATGGCCTATTTGTACAGAACAGATGTATAGGTACACTGGATAGAGGAGAGGTAAGAGAGACTGAATTTGTGTTCAGCATTAAATAAAATCGTTCTACAACTTTAAAATTGTATGCAAGCATGTGAATAACTACTCTCATTTTAATTTGCCAGCTCAAGGTTCTTGGTAGTTCTTGGTAGCGACAACGTCTGCTATCTTCATTAATTCAAATTAGAAAGACACAATATTGTTACTCTTCAGATAGCTTTTACAAAAATCTCCAACTAATTCAAGTATTCAACTATTCTAAAATGTCAATCTATCTATACTGTTTAATTAGACTGATAAAAAGTTCTGGAAGGTGATCGGTAGTAACATTGCTTCAAATTATACTCAATAAAAAAAATTAGGAGACAAAAGGTAGTAAAAATGCTACAAATCATTGTCTGATCGATGTATAGGTAACAGTTTTGGATGATACACTCTCATATAGCATACAATGGCGTAAGTCAAATTGATGATTTGCGAGGTGGTTGTTGGATTGGAGTGTGATCTTGTAACATTCTATGTTATTTTGAAAGTTCAAGGTTTAAGACTAAAAGAAAGATTAATGGTTGATTCTTCAACTACACTTACTGATTTGTAATATTTATCAACATTCTTACTCAAAATTCAGCTGGACTTATATAATTTATATATTAGCTATCTAAAGGATCTAATTTATTTTTTCTTATTAGGGGAGAATTGAAGGTGGAGGAGATCAAAGATGTATTGCTTTAAGGAAATTATGTAAAAGAAACTGAAAAGTACCAATCGAAATAATTGCACAGGTCTATTTTAAATGAAACTTTCTCTTTAGCTTTGTGCGTAACACACATATTCATCATCATAATGAGGTGACTCCTTTTAATTCGTGAGGTGTTAGAACGATTGTCTAAATACCAATCTCCCTGGTCCAAATTGAGACCAGAATGAACAGTCTGCACCCCATATTTATCTTGCTTTTTTTTATGTGTAGTATGATCAAATGAATGAACATTCATTATAATTGTTTTCTCTTGACATGAAGCCATAAATTTATCTTCTGTCATCGCGTAGAGATGATTTATTAGACGGAGTCCGATAGTGAAGCAAGTTGCTAAATTATCAGCTTTTATTTTACACTATTCTTAGATTGTGGATGAGGTTTCTCAGGTTGTTGAGTTTATAGAAACTATGAAATCTAAATTCTTTTATGAAGTCTCATGCTTTTGCTGTCATACTCTTGATGTTGCAAATAATAATGCTCTTGTGGTAAGAGCTCTAAGTGACATTAAGGGATGTATAACCATGCGGTTCTGTTTCTTGGGTAATTTGCTGCTAATTGGTACTGCAAGTAACAAAAATGAACAAGTAAAATTATAGCGCTAATTCCCGTCTACTCCCAGTCACACACTCGGATTTAGCACACCACAGGCATGAAATTGCAAAACTAAAAAGTATTCAGAGAATCAGAAAAAGCACCTAAAAAAACACCGAAAAAAAAAAGTATAAACAACCCAAAATATTACGAAAGGAAAAAAAAAGAGAAAAGAGAAGAAGATCTGGGAAAAAGTTAAAAGCGGAACACACTTGTAGCTACACCCAGCAAGAACAAAGAGAGCTTTAAGAGCAAGTGGAGATTTCCAAGAGAAAGAAACTCTTGAAAGAAAGGGAAACACATACGATTGTTGTCTCTAAGAAAATATGTGGAAAGATCTTCAGTGTACACGTAGAAGTATAACTAAACAATACAACTAAACATATTGAAAAACACTCTCATCTTATAGAGTAGTTAACTATATTGAGATATGAGGGATTCCCCTCAGAAAATAGAACTAGATAGAGGAGTTGATCATGACTACTGTTGACCTTGTGGACGGAAGAGTTGATCATGGCTACTACTGATTCATTGCGACCACAAGAGCATGAATCTGATAGAAGTATATTGGAAGATATTCACTTCGATCCCTTAAAATCACAAGAGCATAATGTTGATAAAAATTGTACTGAAAATACATAAAATGGCGATTACAATATAATAATAACATGTGAAGAATAAGAACTTCGCTCGCGTAAAAGATTTGCCAGAAACTCGAAGCATTTGAATTTATTCACCGAGTGCAAATCCCATGTGTGGATTGTATACTGTATTAGTTTAAAGTCATCTTTTTTTTGAATTTGGGTAAATTTATTCACCGAGTGCAAATCCCATGGTGATTTATATTGTATTCCATGTAAATTCTTTTCTTTGATGACTGTCTCACTTCGGTTATTCTTTTCTATTTATCAAGGAGGAAGATGTCAAGATTAAAAGAAGGATGACAAGAACGATTTGCGTGATGATGGAGAAAACGTCAAGCATAGAAGAGAAAGAATGATGAGGAGAGAGAGCTTCCCATAAACATTAAAGGTAACATGTTCAGTGCAAGACTGTCAAGATCATCAAGCCTAAACTTTGAGCAAGTCCAACAGGATGTTGTTGTTGTTGTTGCCACCAATATTATTGCTGCTTTCTACATTATTATTAGTTATAGGAGGAGGAGGCATCATCATCATTGCAGGAGGACATAAGACTGCATTTTCACTGCTGTATCAAACAAGATGTATTTCCACTAGAACCACCCCCTCCATTAACATCTTTTTTTTTTCTCTGAGTTTCTTATAACTCTCTTTGTTGATTTTGTTCCTTTTGTTTTTGCCTATGAAACCATAAAACTTCCTAAACTTTGAACAAGTCTAATCTACCTCTTTTACTATTGTGGCTGATTATAATGGAAGAAAACTATCATTTCAGTATTGTAGTTGCGCTCCCATAGATGTAAAAAGTGTCATTTGGTGATCATACAATATCCGAGAGTGGATAATTGTTCCAAATTATATCTAACTAATATCCAGTGATATTATCCATATTTGGTGATCCTTTATATGCATCAGATCCCCTTTCCTGCCACTTCATGTCAAAATAAAGTTAAAAAAAATAATAATTTCAACTTTTATTATATTGCACGGGCTAACTCCACCTAGTTTATATAGAAAAGCTTGGGTTTCGACGTGGCTGTTTTTCGTCATTAAAACTCATTTTAAGGGCATTGTTGTCATTTCAATGCTTAGGTTTGCAGCTGCATGCACGTGTCTAAACATCCGCTAGCCACTATGTGGCCTTCAATTGTACTAGAGTTACTTTTGTCTTTCCGACTTCCCCTCCGCCTCCGCCTCTTTGCACTTCCCGTCCGGCGTCTTTTGGCTCTCTCCTCCGTGAAGTTTTTCTGTTTTAGTTCTAATTGATCTTCACCCTTCAAATTACTTTATTCTCTGTTTGGTTTCTCAATTGCATGTCTATAATTGAATTCCTCCTGCTGAAATTTTGATTTTTTTCTCAAACTTTTTTGGGTGCGCATGTCTAATATGATGCTTTTCTTGCTTTCTTTTGTTCCATCTTCTTCATTTCAGTTTTCGCTCTGCGATGTGGTAGTGGTCTGTTGATAAAGTAGTTGTCTGTTCCTGCATCTGTTTTTTCGTACTTTTGGATTCCGGTAAGTACTGCTCTTCTATTCCCTTCTATTTTTTTCCTTAGCTTTTAGCATGCATAAGTTGAACCCAAATTATCTAATTTTCCACCCCTAAGAGAAAAATTGACTGAGTGCATTTATACTCTTATATAAAACTTGCCTTCCGTGTCTTGATGAGCTACAATTGCCCCAGAACTTAATCAGTGTTTGATTTTATTGTTGGAAAAGTGAATGTGATTATAGATGTGCTATGATTATACAGTTGGCTAATGTAGCGTCTGGATAGATGTACATGGTTACTGCACATTAAAATTCTTTTTGATAAGTTATTGACCTCACACTAAGATTATTGAAGCTCAAAGCAAAATGAACTTACCACTTTTGTTATTTTCAAGATGCGCTGTCATTTTTTTCCTCCAAAGCCATATTGATTATTTAGTATAAGTGATCAAGGTGCAACAAACACTCTTTCTTAGTTGTTCATTTGATTTAAGGAGATGTACTTTAGTGGAAAACAACAAGTAACCCAGTGAATTCCCATAAGTGGGGTCTGGGGAGGGTAGTGTATACGCAAACCTTATCGCTATCCCGGAGGCAGAGTATTCCAATAAAAAAAAAGGGGTCTTCAAATTCCTACAAGTTCTATTTATGAGGTCAAAAGTTGATATATTATTTCTTATGAGCTTTTGCATTAAACATGCAAAGTGATTGATCTATTGCTGCAAAAATATTTTTTTGATACTATCATCTTAAATTACCACTCAATTCTACTAATAAGATCAGTATGAAAGAATGCAAGGTCCACTTTAACTCCTTTTAGAAACCTGCCTCTTAAGATTTTTGAGACTAAACACATGCCCCTTTTCTTAGTAGTCTTGGGGACAAACATCTTCAAATTCCCAAATGCAAACTACGGATAGGAGCTGATCACGACCTATTTGAATATGCAGGTTGTGCATGTCTTACTGTATTCAACTTTAATTTAATTTAAATTCAGTGGACACCTGAACATGATCTATGTTAAAGTAAGATATTTAAAGAAATAAAATAAACATTTTGTTCCTTTTCTTGCTCCTATATTTCTGCAAAACTTCATGATTAACTTATTAAATTATTATTTATTTTTGAGTTGTAACATTACTTTTGGGTCTTATTGCCAATATCTAAAATCAGCAGTACTCTTTTTTTAGACAAGGAAGATCAACAGTACTCTTTTACAATGTATATCTGACCAGTGCCTTCTCTTAGCTTCTTTTATTATCCTTTTGTCTGATAACTTTTTAAGCTCTTATATTTTTCTAAACCTAACCCCTCTCAAAGTATATATCTGAACTGCATGAACTGCATGCCTCTGTCTTTTTCAGTTAGTTATTTGTCATAAACATAATAGAGGAAAATGCTTTAAACAGAAATCTTGTCTGCAAGTATGAGAGGCACTGATTATGAAAGCTAATTCAGAAATTGCACGCTGAACTTGAAGATGATATAGTGCTGCTCAAAGCCAACTGGCCTGCGCCGCGAGAGATGGTCTGATATGTGCTTTGTTGCTTTGCCAAAACTAATCTACGTATAGTAATTCAGGCTTTTTATCATAATTCGGTGGATAATTATAGTTATTTAGCTTTAGTTGGTGCATTTATGTAGAACTGTTAGCTGCCATTTTTAACTTTGGTACTTTGGGCGGTTTCTAGCTAAATCCCTTTTGATTCTGATATTTCTTCTATGTTTCTTTGTTTTCATGACCATTCAGAATTTTAGTTTACTTGGTGTATTTGTCCAAATATCTCCAATAGGAGCTTTAACTGTAATTGGTGTAATTTTTGTAAAAATGATGCTACAAGTTTCAGTTTTAGTGATTTCTAGCTTAATCCCTCTTAATTTTTGTACTTGTGCTCTTCTTTTCTTGGTTTCCTTTTGGACCATTTCTATTTTGGAAGGTTTAGGTTTGGTTTCTGCTTAAGTTGGTTTTTTAAAGGTTCTTGCATTTCATTTTGTTTACCAATGAGTGGAGAAGTAGAATATTTCTCCCATTTTAGATGTATTTGTTGCATTGTTGGAGAACTGGTGATGTTGGAAAAAGATTTGTGGGTTCTCGGTTAAACCTTCCTTTTGGTTTAGCTCAACTAAACCTTTAACTTGAAATCATGCTCACAAAACGCTGAGATTATAAACCATCATCAACTATCTCGCACGGTAGATATGAGAAATGCATTTCTATTGGCTTAGGCTTGAACATACATTAGTCTGTTGAATCTAAGATGAATTTACCTATTTATTTTTATACAGAAACTCGAAGTTTTATAAGATAAACAGCTTTTGAATTTTTTATTTACATACTATAGATAGCAAAATAGTTCCTTGCGTTTTATCTTTACTGTTTCTAAGTTTTACTCTTATCTTCAACACATTTCACTTATGTTAGTAGTTTGTGCAACTTTTATCCTGCATTCGAGTTGCCACTGCATTTTCCAATTAGCATTAGCAGATAGAGTGATGTTAGAGATTTTCGTGGTGTAGATATCTCATAATACTCTTGAATGAATCTGTTGTGGCCATTTATTCAGCTTGAATATGTCAGATACTTTTTTCATTAGTGTTGGAGCACAAAGTCTATCTAATCTTGAAACTTTATGATTAGTTCTATAGTTGTATTTATGAAATTTGCAGCCAATAAAACAAAAGAAAAAAAGATGTAGCTTGGTGATGAATATCATATTGCCTTGTAAGCTTTGATTTGCACATAGACTTTATCCTTGAGGCCAAAGTCTACAAAGTATTTATCCAGACAGTAGTTGCCCTCTCCAAATGCAAGAAGTTTTACTTCAAATGCAAACAGTATCTTCTTGGATAAAATATTACTGTACAAACTATTGGGCCTGTGTTCAGCTTTATCTAGTTGTTAAATAGATAAGACAGATAGGAACATCCTTATCTTATAATGCTGGACAAGAAGTATTTGTATCACTTGTTGATTCATGGGATCTAAATTTATCCAACAATTTAAGTAAACAACCGAAAAGATAGAGTCAGAGATATACAGCATATCCTGCCCTAAATTTATCCTATAATTTACATGCATTATTGAAGAGATAACTACACTAGAGCTAGCTGTGTATAAAAAATAAATCTTGAATGATATTACCCAAGATATTATTATTATACCGAAATTTCCGTACCGATATTACAAGGATTAATTAGTAGAACACCATAGAGCGGAACAGCTGCAAAGCTGATACAAAAGTTATCAGTACAAAAATCCTGCATCAACCTTGTATGTGTCAAAATCTGATCAAAGGAATTCTACTTAAGGAAGAACGACCAAGAAGCAACCAAGCCGAAGTCACGTATAGGAAGCAATATACCGGCGAGTGATTTAGCTACGGTCGAGGTCGAGCACTCAATTCGGCCTGAACGGCTAGTTCAACACATTTCAGAGGAATATTCTACGGAATATTCCAAGAATCTAGGTACTTCGGTTAAGGATCGCCGAGTAAAGAAAGTGTGTTATATAAATATCATGGGAGAGAGTAGCAGGGGGGCTGATAGGAACTCACACACAAAAACATATTCATCTCTCTAGAACCGAAGATATTCCAAATATCTCAGGCTCCTCGCCGAAAAAGAGATAAGAGCTTAGAATCTCAGTGTCCATCTGTAATTCAACTTTATCAAATGCACAGAAGTCGTTCTTGTTCAAGAATAGTGACTCTTTTCATTAATGTATTCTCCGTTATCATTTGATATTATTGGAGTAATCATCTATTTCTTACATTATGATAATCAATCGCGATTGTAATCAAATTTTATGTTCAGTCATGCTTGTTATTCCTATCCTCTATCTCAGATCTAGAATAAATTATCTCTGGCTAGGATTTGTCCCAAATCTCCTTATTCAATTGGTTTAACAAAAAGGCCTAAGACTTTTTAGTCAAACAATTTGGCGCCTTCTGTGGGGATTTCCTAGCCAAAGTTTTAGTTTCCTCTAGATCTAAACTCGGTTCTAGTTCTACTTCCCGTTCGCTGTAACTTCATCCTTTCGCATGTGTGCTTGTGGTGCGGCTTATGTTTCCATGTCTTCACTTACTCGGGACTGGATCGGATTGGGACGTGAACCCGAAAACCCTAACGAGCGAAGTAAGTCATCAATCTCCAAGGTGCCCAGATTCGACTAACGCCAAAGCTAAGTGCGAGGCTGAGATCGGATATGAAGCGAGCACTCTCATTTCTTGCCAACCAGATCGAAGACCCAAGTAGCGGAGATGGCAAAAACACCAAGCCAAAGACCCACAGGATGTCATCCAGGTTTGCTGAATATTAGCCCAACTAGTGATAGTAGCTACGAAACACAGCCAAAGAAGGGAACACGGTCGCTCCCTTCCACCAGTCAACCAATAAGTTGAGGTAACAAACGATTTCATTTAGCTTTAACTTACTATTTCTTTTCAGAATGGGACGGGAACAGGGGCATACTCACCGGCACTCGAACAGGGAACAAATGCCATCAAAATAGAACACCAAGAAAATGCCCCGCGTCCTATCATCATGCAAGCAACGGTTGAGCAAAAACCCCCCTCCCCAGCAAGTTGGTACTCAACACCATAAAGGAAAAACCGGTATAGACTGGGACTGGGTCACCAGCATGGAAAACATATGAATCTCTCCAACATGCAGACTAAACACAAGTGCGTGAAACTCACCCACGCGCACGCCAAAGTCACTATACGACGACACAACTAGCCAAAATTCAATCTCGTACATATATTGAGATGCCCCAAAGTTTGAGCGAGACATTTATCGCCCGGCCTACCAACTACCTCTCTAGGCTAAGCGATGATTTAGATAGACTGGGACTCCTCAAATGTATGTACGGACCGAACAAAAATATGTAATATTCTCCAATGAATAAACGAAGTGGTATATGACATTCTTACACAACACCAAATTTACACATCACGCCAACGCAAAGGAAATATACATTTGACCTAGTTCGAATCAGTCAACATTCGACCTCGCTCGAATTAACTTACATTCGACCTCGTTCGAATCATTCTACATTCAACCTTGCTCGAATTAACTTACATTCGACCTCGTTCGAATCATTCTACATTCAACCTTGCTCGAATTAACTTACATTCGACCTCGTTCGAATCAATCAACATTCGACCTCATTCGGTCATTCTACATTCGACCTTGCTCGAATTAACTTACATTCGACCTCGTTCGAATCAATCAACATTCAACCTCGCTCGAATTAACTTACATTCGACCTCGTTCGAATCAATCAACATTTGACCTCACTCGAATTAACTTACATCTGACCTCATTCGAATCATTCTACATTTCGACCTTATTCGAATTATTCTACATTCAACCTCGCTCGAATTAACTTACATTTGACCTCGTTCGAATCAATCAACATTCAACCTCGCTCGAATTAACTTACATTTGACCTCGTTCGAATCAATCAACATTCAACCTCGCTCGAATTAACTTACATTTCGAATCAATCAACATTCGACCTCGCTCGAATTAACTTACATCTGACCTCATTCGAATCATTCTACATTTCGACCTTATTCGAATCATTCTACATTCGACCTCGCTCGAATTAACTTACATTTGACCTCGTTCGAATCAATCAACATTCAACCTCGCTCGAATTAACTTACATTTGACCTCGTTCGAATCAATCAACATTCAACCTCGCTCGAATTAACTTACATTCGACCTTGTTCGAATCAGTAGGTCAAAATGCCCTCGCTTAAATCAACTACCGAAAGTCAAGGACTCATTGCGAGATCCAAAACATTCGAAAGAAAAAAAAGAATTAAAGGCTGAAAACATACAATCAAAGACAAATCAACTGTTCCATTTAAAAGGAAAATAGTGTTTTGCAAAGGGCCAAAAGGGGGTCCCCATCAAACTAACTAAATACAGAAGAAATTTTTTAAAGTACGAAAGCTTCACTAAGCATTATTCTCATCCACGCCGTCATCTCTCTCTCCGCCCGGTTCAGCGGTTTCACCTCCACCGTCACCCTCTCCATCAGGATGCTCATCATCAAAAGAAAGCCCATCCTCGGCCTCATTGTCTCCACTGGCCTTCGGTGTTGCAGGGTCAAAGCCACAAGCAAGCCAGGCCTCACGCACTTTAACACGAACCTCTTCGAAAGTGGCCTCAAGGACCTTTCCTGCTGCCAACAAGACCTTATATATATCCCGCTGAGCCTCAGCGTGGACCCACATCTCATACAAATGGGGAGAAACGTCAACAGAGGCCGGCGTAGGAGGAGTCGAAGCTAACAATTGCGCCCTCTCCGTCTCAAGAGCAGTAATTCGATCACCCAGGCTCGAGACGTCCCTTTCAAGCTCGCCAAGTCGTTCATCAAGCCGTGTCTCACTCAGAGCGGTCGTCTCCATCTCAGGGGCACATTTAGACCTGAGAACGCGGATAGAATTCTCCAACGCTGCAGCCTTCACCAAGGTTGCTACTCGGGCTCCTTTAGCCCTCTCCAGCCCGATCACCTTCCCTTCCAATTCGATCACCTTTTCCACCAATTCAACACTTAAACCGGAAACCCTAATGTCACTCTGCTCAAGCTCCACCCGCATGGCAACCACCTTTGCCTGAAGATCAACACACTCAACTACAACACCCTTGCCCACCTCGAGCTCTTCTTCCTTAGCCCGAAGCAGCCCTTCAAGTTCGCTGCATCTGCTCATAGACCGCATCAGGTCCTCGTCCTTCCTACCCAACTCCTCCCTAAGGGATTGAGGATTGCTACCCGCCTTGAGTCGTGCATGCATGTCACGGCACTTGTCACGATATTGGTGGTATTTTGAAACCATTTTCTAAA